ATATTACCTACGTATATTTATTATTTAATTGACTACAGTAAAATAAATATCAACAAATCTAATCAAAAATAGTATTTACATTTATTGTATCAATTAAAATTAATTTTTAAGATTTTTGAGTAGTCAAATCGAATACTGCGAAAATTACAGAAGATAATATTTTTGAAGTTTTGACACATCGTTTTTGCATTTTATTATAATTTTAGTTTGTATTCAACTTTCAAAATAAAAAATTGTGTTTGTAAATATAAATCATATTTAAATATTGTTGTGATACAATATTTAGACAAATTTATATTTTAATATATTATTGTTATTATTAGTTATTACCCTTAAAAACATAACATATTCATCATAACTCTTATACGATGAGCAATTTTACTCTATAAGATTAATTAAAAACATAAAAATTACTTTTTTTGTATGCGTTTTGTCTATATTGCTATAGACCAAAGAGAAAACAAACAATGCGCTGACATCCTCCTAACCTTAAAGAATTAAAATCATTTATAATAAAAACTAATTATAATGAAATAAAAGTAATATACCTAAATTACAATTTCTTACATTAAGTTACTGTTACATAGCTGTATAGATAATTCAAAATATCACATACTGCAGACAGTAAAACAATAAACTAAATAACAATTGGATTATGTCTAGTATTATTAGTTAAATAACAAGTAAAAACTACCTATAAATCATTTAATTGGACATCAGACAATCAACGCAACACTACAATCAATAAAAACTGTAACGTATGTGTATTGTATATACTGTATCTGTGATGTATAATAAAGAAGTGTATACATTGTATTATATATAAACGATAAGCGTATAACATACTATAACTTAATATACGGACTATACTAGTATACTACTATATAATGCATTTATGCGTATTATATACATAGTCATATAGCCATATGCCCATATAGGTAACTCTTGTCACTTTGTAAGTAATAACACTAATAACTCATATAAGCGTAGCTGTAGGTATATGTACCTAGTGCAGTGTATAACGTGTATATGCCACCGGATAAACTGTGGCTTCATATGAGGGGCCCATGTTTATTATAACAAAGATTTTTTTACAAAAACATTAAAATTAATTAAAAAATGAAATAATTGTAATTCTTATCCCTGTGAATCTTATTATAAACCCAGAATTTTGATATGTCCATTACCTATGACATATGATATCCACTCTGTATATATAATATGTGCTCTAATAATAATTTATGGATGAATTAATTATACTAATGAATACAGAATAACGAGGTTAGAATAATAACCCTGGATACTATAAGATTATTATAATCAATGATATTAGCCGTTACCATTATCATTAGGTAACAACTATAAATAAGCTATTTCCGTTATCCGTTGATTAGGAAAATTAGGTTTTAGAGGCGCACATCAATTGTCTCCCGATTTAAAAAAAAATATCGTTTCCTATTTAATTACTACCTAATAATATTTTCCCATCGAAGATATATMGAGCTGATAATATGATAAATCGATATCGAGTTTAAATTACATAAATTGAATTTATTATATATCAAGAATATCAATGTAATTTGAAGTCAATAAATAAATATAAATATTTTATAAAATAGACAAGCCTATATTTTTAATATTATATAAATTGATTTAATAACTAAATAATCAATAGTAGGTAAACGTACAACTATCACCTATCAATATTAATTAATAACTTAAATTTCTGTCACGAGATACGATGCCTGATGTACCAATGGATAGGATGCGATTCAAGTGGGTGAATATAAATTATTTTTTTAAAAGGCGTGTATATTACGAAAAAAAATCATATATATGTAAGTTCTAACATATAGAAAAAAATTGTATATCAGTATAAGTGTATTCTACTTATGTTAAGTTATGGATTAGCCATTAGGTGGTTATATTTATTACAAAAGTATAATTCATATATTAAATGTACCCAAATTAATTAAAATGTCTTTAAAAAGTAATAAAAATCACACAATACATTTTATAAATAGATAAATAAAAAAAAATACACTTAGATTAACTAATTATTATGATGTCATATTTTATTATTTATTTATTCATCTTTGTAATTTACTGTATATATGCTAATTAATTTACGCTTAACAACTTAATGATGTTAAAATTTTTTTATTATATCAATAAGTTCGATGACTTTGTATGCCAGAAACACTTTAATTTAAAAAAAAAAAGTAATAAATAAATAAATATATAGGTAATAATCAATGATAATGCAAAATAATAAAAATCAAATACTACATTTTTTTTATAAATAAATAGATGAATAGTTATTTTTCCAAAGTGTAGGGACTTCAGTGGCGTATATAGGAGGGGGGTTAGGAGTTACTGAATCGTTATCGGCGTGATTCGATCACAACGTCAACGCCGAAGAATAACTTTTGATATATTATATTATTATTCAGTCCCCGTCTAGTCCGGCGCGTAGGCGAATTTTTATAATATATTTAATATTTATGCTTTTAAAATATTTTATTTTTTATTTTTTTGTTAAAAAAACATTCTCACAACAGATGGCGATCGTGGCCATCCCCTACAATTCAATTTAATGATTTAATTTAATGTCTATAATTATTAAAATAAAGTTAGTTTATAATATTGATTAGGTAGATAAATTTTGTTTAACCCCCCCTCCCACCAACGAAATTAATTTCAATATACGCCACTGAGGGACTTACATTAGGTAAGTACTCACTTTTTTCCACCTTGTACCTAGGAAGTAGGAACATCCTCATCTCATTTTTATGTTCCTGTAGGAAATTAACACATCACATCATAAAAATAATTATAACTATATTTCACAGTAATGTATAACTTCAAAAAGTTTTATTTCAATTACATTGATGATAATTTTTATAAATGTTTAAAGTTAGAAATTTTTAATTTGAATTTCTCATAACACGTTTTAATACTAATTTAAAAATTATATTAAAGATGTATAAGCATGATTTCTTTTTCATAAGCATTTGAAGTTCAAATTTTACGAGATTTTCTAAAATCACGAAAATTTGCAAATAATTTTGTAATTAAAAATGTAGGTACCTACCTATAAGAAGTAAAAATGTTATAGTTAGGACTGAACATTTAAAACAATGTTTCTCATTGTCATTTGTAGTTCTTGCTATTACTATGTAATCAAAAATCTAATATACCTATATAAATATTTACATATAAGTAAGAAGTAAGTACAGTTTTATTTAAGACAGTTTAAATTCAATTTTAATTAAAGTTAATATTACGACAAAGAAAGATTGTTGTATTTTAAAAATATTAATAGTGTGTAGGTACTGAAACTTTAGTACTTACCTAGGTACACGAATATATTTTATACAGTTTCATACACGTTATAATTTATAACACAATAATGATTATGATTGATGACATTTTTAAATACAATGTTTTCGGGAACAATTAATTTAACCTATACTATATTATAAATTAGTTAAATAGATTGCTTTAATATAAAAGCATTAAAAGCAATATAACTATCATATTATACCTATATTAATATTTTGAAATATGCTTAGGAATGTTGGTTGACAAATGACAGACTATACATAGCATCACAACGCCTTTGCTTAAAGTCATAATTCGTTTTTCATATGACACAAAAAATAAATCAATTTATAACATTGTAAAATTAATACATTCTCKACTAAGAATCTCAAAAACGTCCTACATATTCTTAATATATTATTATTGTAGGTATATTATTTGTGAGAATATTTTTTTTCTAAAATTTAAATGAATAGGGTAAAACTGTATAAACGAGGTATGAAAGGTACCTATAGTTAAAATAGAGTTTTGTTTCTAAGATGAAACAATAAAACAAAACTGTTTAAACAAGTTATTCGCATTTTTATTCTATTCAATTCTGAGCTTAGTTATGGATGTTGTATATTTACAGTGTGTAGATATTTTTTATTTGTCTGTCTGTCTGTCTGTCTGTCATCAATATTAAGAGTGATAAAAATTCTCCGAATTCATCTTTTCTAAAAGAAAAGTTAATATAGTCGGTATTAACATTTCCCATTGGTACATGATAAAATTTGCGAAATATTTTTACTCTTTTTGTACGATTTATAGCCATGATTAATTTTTCTAGTTTCATAAATTATTTTCCTGTTAGAAATTCATAAAAATTTACATGTAAATCTTAAACAAATCTGTCATATCTTTCTGTTACACCCTGTATAGTTATACATTATATATTTATATAGCTATATAATATGGTGGTAAGTTACAGTAAAAACTCAAGGAATAGGGACATACAGCCATACAGGAATTATTATTTTTATCATATTATGACTCATAATAATATCACTGATACCTATCTATCGAAAATAAATTTACTATAGCAGTATTATATGTATATGCTTTTAAAATATATGATTATATGATCTATGATTTATATGTGTCAAAATCGTATATATAACATATGTATAACCGTGTAGTGCGTTCATCAATAATATCATTAGGTATTTATTATTTATAAGTTGTACTTAAGTAATTTTGGTGACTGGTAAGGCGATTTATAGTTACGAGATTCTTATAAAGTTATAATAACGCTTCAACTATTATTTCGGAAGACAAATAAACTTTAATGACGTCGCCACACTGTAATAGTGTTATTATACATTTACTTATTAGTAACAACTTACAATTTTAATGATCGAATATTACACACTACATAGTTTAATGGTCTATTGTATCACACTCAAGTCACCAGACGCCGCCGTTCGTTTTTCGCGCCAACTTCATAATGTAAACAACATGGTAGGTATAATATTATTAATCCGGATTTGGTTCAAGTTCGCGCGAACGTCACGCGCCAATCGTAAGATCTGACGGCAAAAAGTTGTATCACCGTACCTGTCCTTGTCTGTAATAAATGCCTGTACCGGTTTATCTATTCGTTATTTCGTTCAAATAATATTAGGTTAGGTCGCGCTTGTGGTTACTGTAGTTACTCATTACTCAAGAATAATATTAGTATTATTGTCATTTTACACCTATTATACCTACTACTTTTGAATGCGTTAAATGGTAGTGTGCGACGTGTGATATTGTGCAAGCACTTCAATCATTACAATCCCTTCTGMCTTACCTTATTAGTCGCGATCGAGGTACGTCGTTTTTAATCGCTATCGATTATTATAATATTATTTTTAATTCGAAACGTGATGCCGGCGTGACTAGCTGTTCAGTGATAATGTTCGTCGACGATCTGGTGAAAGGGTTTTACGACGTCGTTTCAAGGAATGTAAGTGGATCTATCGTAAATC